CGTGAGGCGAGGGCCGTGTGCCCCGGCGGGCCGGCGCGCGAGGGCGGCGGCGTCTTTGTTGCGGCCGGGCCGTCGCGGCCTTTGTCTGCAGATGGTGGACGCCGGCGGTCACGCCGCGGCCGAAGGCTGGAGGAGGATGGAGGCTCCGCCGGAGGGCGCCGACCTGGTGCCGCTGGACCGCTACGACGCGGCGCGGGCTAAGATCGCCGCCAACCTGCAGTGGATCTGCGCGAAGGCCTACGGCCTAGGTGGGCGGGCGCGGCGGGGCCCGGGGGTGGGCCCGGAGGGAACGGGCGGGGGCCGGGGGATGAGAACACCGGGGGATGGACGGTACCGGGGGACGGGACCAGAGGGGGACAGACAGGGTCGGGGGATGGGACCAGAGGGGTCTGAAGGGGTCAGGGGATGAGAACACCGGGAGATGGACAGGGTCGGGGGAAGGGACCAGAACGGGATGGACGGGCCGGGGATGAGAACACGGGGGGATGGACGGGACTCGGGGTTGGAACCAGAGGGGGATGAGAACACCCGGTGATAGACAGGGCCGGGGGAGGAACGGGAGACTAACGGGTCCGGGGGATGAACGAGAGCGGGGGATGGGACCGGAGGAGGGACAGGGCTGGGGGATGTGAGCACCGGGGAGAGGGGGGGAGCGGACCGGGCGGGGGGATGAAAAGGCGAGGAATGGGACCAGAGGGGAACGGGCGGAGCCTGGGGATGAGAACATGGGGGGATGGACGGAACCGAACCGGGCAAGGAATGAGGGGTTTGCGAACACCGGGGGATGAACGGGGCTAGGGGGTGGGACCAGAGGGGTCGGTCGGGGGAGTGACCTCGCTGGAGGGCTGGAGGATGAAACCACAGGGGGTTGGACTGGGGACGGTCGGGGGAGGGTCCGGCTCAAGAGGGATGGGATGTCGCGGGCGGAGGATAGGGTCTGGGGCGAGGGCCACCTATGGAGATGGCCCACGGTTAGGAGCCAGGCCAGTGACAGGGCCAGGGCGCTTGACTTTTGGTGTCTGTCCGTGTCTTGCTGTCTTGGCAGCGGCCCAGGTGAGTGAGCAGGAAGGTCGCCTGTGGTCAGTCCTGGACTGTGCTCTTGCTTTTGAGTCTCGGGTTGGGTGGAGGATGGCCGCCTGGTGCTTTGTTACTCTGAGTTCAAGAAGGACCCTGATGGCTGGCTGACCACTTCCTAGAATGAGTGGCCTTAAGGCTGGCTGGTTTGAGGCTTGCATCCAAGGAGACAACCCTAGAGTCCCGGCCATGCTGGTTATGAATTTTGATATGTAATGTAACATGAACTGTCAAATGCTCCAAGTAGGTAAATTTGATGTTATACAGATTGTGCAAAAACTATTATGATCCCCTTTGGTTAATTCTATTGTGAAGAACAAGGTGACCTTGTGATGAAGTCCCATTTATAAGGTTTAATATGCTTCGTGGATTAAGATGCTCTGGTATCATGGTGGGGGAATTTCGCAGATCCAGATGCTGGTAACAGGTTGACTCAGGCTCTTTGTGTTAATGTCAAGTGCTTTGTTTCAGGTACAAAACTAAGGGTTAAATACTAATGAATCCCCTTAATTTGGAGTATAAATTGCCTTTGTTCTTATAAAAACATTGCCAAATGACCGAGATGCAGAGATAACCATTTCAAAAAAGGGTTAGTTGACCAGTTTTGAAAACTTGCTGAGCAGGTAGGTGTTCCTGTGCAGGGCTACTGTTAGTCATAAGGACAAGCATGTTTTGTGAGTCTCGAGGATTAAGTATACTGTGGTATTTTAAACTCAATGCTGTGTTGTGAATGTAGCTGTGAGGAAATAGTTCTGTCTTACAGTTTTCAGTTTTGTAGTCCTTGGTCACTGCTTGTGTCACACTTGGGTTTATGTCCTGATGGAGAAATACTGCTGTGTACTTGGCTTTGCTGGACTTAAGAGTGCAATTGATAAAAACTGAATCAAACACCTAATAACACTGGAGTGGACAGTAAGTGGCACAGGCAAGGCAGGAGGGACCCATGGAGAAGGCGGATGTGACTGATGGCCAGGCACTCTCTGTCCACCTTATATTCGCCATTGTTTTGTGGCCTTTGTATTTCAGCTGTATGTGCTTGCTCACTGAGCCATGGGTTTCGTTTTGCTTTTACACCTTTCTTCATGCCGTCTTTTTATTTTATTTTATTTATTTATTTTTTTTGTCTTTTTGAGACAGGGTCTCCCTGTAGCCCTAGCTGTCCTGGAACTCACTATGTAGACCAGGCTGGCCTTGAACTCACAAAGATCCGCCTGCCTCTGTCTCCCGAGTGCTGGGATTAAAGGCGTGCGCCACCATGCCCTGCTAAAGGGCAGTGGAAAAGATGGCACTCATTTGTAGGTGCTGGGAATCGAACCTTTAACGTTTTAGTTGTTAGCCTTAGCCTTTAACGGCTGCCCTATCCCTCCAGCCCCTGTCTTTTTATTTATTTATTTATTTATTTATTTATTATTTATTTATTTATTTATTTTTGAGACAGGACAGCCCCAGCTGTCCTGGAACTCACTATGTAGACCAGGCTGGCCTAGATCTCACAGAGAGACCTGCCTACCTTTGCCTCCTGAGTTCTTGTACTAAACACCCGGCTTTAGTGCTGTCTTTTGAGGCTTTCTGTATGTTATATATTCTTGGGCTCCTCCTGCTTCATCCTAGCTCCCAGCATTCTTTTCCCCTGCTGTGCAGTATTTCACCGTGACCTGTCTGCTGTATGCCATTGCACTACACAGGTGCTGTCTGGCTTCCAGATTTTTGCTGTTAAACAGGGCACATTCTTGGGCACAGCTCCTAGGCCTGTGTAGAAGCGTTCACTCCTGTGTTTGGTCTTTCCCCGCCTTTGCTGGGGATGGAACCCAAGACCTTGCTGGGCAAGTACTTTTGCTGATTTGCATCCCTATCCTCCTTACGTGTGTTTTTCTGTTTTTAAGGTTGTCCATGTAGGAATAGCCTAGGCTCTGCTGGTACATACATGTTGGACTCAAAAAGCACTGCTATTATTTTACTTTCCTTCCTTCCTCCCCCCTCC